ATATATATATATATATATATATATATACATATATACATATATATAATACATACAAATCAATAATTAATTAATAATTACCTATATATTCTATGTGCGAGATGCGAGTGCAATGGTGATAGATGTCCCTCTAGAAAATGCGCGAAATATGCGTTCTGTGTGAACGGCTTGGTTTCAGTTTTGACGTAAACAACATCTTCTCCGCATTGATGTTCTCTTTTCCCGCAATATTTGTAATTAACAACGCAGCAGCGCCGCATCTAGTGGCTTCAACTGGATAGGCTAAGAAAAACATTAAAATGCAATGACACTTACATCGGCATTGCATCTCGTGCGCCACTGATATGGCTGCCTCCTTAACGCACACCTAAAATTCAAATGCAACATTTTTGCATTAGAATGTGGATTTTTATTTTTAATTCGACGAATATTCGAAATTCTAAAAAAAATTTGACAGCCCTAACACACACACACACACACACAAACTCCAACTGTATACACATATATACACGTTACAAAACATATGCAGTACATACCTCATATGCTCCGGGGTCCAGGGGTCTTGTCTTTAGGGCTTTTGAAGAGATCTTCTTTTGAGACAATCAGTGCAAGTTTTGGGCTGAATTTAACATCTGGACTATATTGATCCGGACCTGAAAACCACAAACAAACAACAGCTAGTTTAGCTGGAACACTTGTACATAACTCTCTAAAAACGCTGTTTACATGGGGCAAATTCCACTTATGTCAGTAAGGCAAGGACAGAAGTTCTCAGTCCCAATTAGACGACTTTTAAAAATATGCTAGCAACAAAACCACAACCTTCACATGTCTGCTTTTGAACGCTCTTGAATGTTTAAACCCTTAGACTTCTGAAGGAAGATTTCCTGTTCAACAGCATGCCACAAATGCCATAAAGATGAAGTCAGCGTATATTCCTTAAATAACTGTCAAAGCTTCGGTCACCTGGGGTTTCAGGGTTGTAGTGGAGGAAGGCGGGGTCTCTGGGGCCAGCAGACAAGAAGCAGCTCTGTCGCTTGTGTGCTTTCTCGTTACGCGGCTTGCTGTAGTGATGGAGGCCGTGTATCTTCTCAAACGATTTGCTCACGTTATATGAGCCTGGCGGAGGTGTATTGTACAAGAGAAATCTAATATCTCCAGCATCATAAATATCATCTGCACAATTTACAGCAGGTACATATGAGCCAGGAGGCTGTGTGTGTGTGTGTGATGTAAATGCATTACTGCAAACAAGATTTGTGCTTGTTTGTACAAAATGAATAAGAGTCAAATTGCTACAGATGCTGTACATAGAAATGAAACTGTATAGAACTAGATGTATCTATACAGCTATCAAGTTATTTAGACGTATGCAACTATTGCATATTGTAACAATAATTAGCTATTTTTATAAATGCATCCGGATCATATTGGTTGTAATCATATCAGAAAACAACAATCAACAAACCACAAAATATAAAAATAGATGTCAGTCAGGAGTGACAGATCTAATGAATAAATATGCAAGGACGGTTTTGTGAATTAATTCACATTCGGATAACGCGCACACACACAGTAGCATGTCTTGTTTATTGAGCTGACATCTGTAAACTGGGCAGACAGACAGAGAGAGAGAGAGAGAGAGAGAGAGAGAGAGATTCTCACCAAACCTGTCAGGAACAAGACTATTTTTAAGACCATTAAGTTGTTTTGTATTGTGAAACTAATTAAACGAATTAAACTATAGTATATTCTCCTTTGTGTGATGCAAAAAAAGATCCTACATTCTAAACAATGTAAATTCTGCAATATGTATATATTTTATATGCATTTAATATACATTTTATATTTTGTATACATTTTATTATTTAATATACATTTTATAAACTATTTTTATATATATATATATATATATATATATATATATGTATATGTATATATGTATATTTCAATTAACTATTTAAAATAATAATAATAATAATAATAGTTTATTATTATTATTATTGTTGTTGTATTTTATTTGTATAGCACCTTTCATACATAAAATGCAGCTCAAAGTGCTTCATGTGTCAACAAAAAACAACAAAATTAATAAAATACAGAACAGTAAAAAAAATTATTATTATAATTATGATTATTATTATTATTGCACCCTTCATACATAAAAATGCAGCTTAAAGTGCTTCACATTTCAGTACAATATAAATCAAGAGAGAAAGTAAAAGTGTACAATTAGGATGTAATAATAATAATAATAATAATAATAAAATCCATCACCATGTTGCAAATATTTTCAGTCAAAGACTTTATTCAGCTATTTTAAAACTAATTTTTACAATAATTTTTAACTAAACGAAATGGATTAACAAGAATGACAAAACAAATTAAATAAATAAATAAATATAAAATAAAATAAAACTTTCCAAGGCTTTATGTGAATTTTGTATTTGTTTAACTGTCATGAGAATAATGTCACAATGCAGCAGAACATCATAATGATGCTAAAATTAAGCTTCATTTTCTTTATGCAACATAAAATGTCTTCTTTTTCTTTCTTTTGATTTTGGGGTGGAATGTGATCTGGGTGTGATTTGATGAGACTGATGCAGACGGCAGTGTGTGTGTGCTGTTATTTGCGAGGGAGCAAACATGTGTCTAATAAAAGCGAGGAGCAGACGTGAGACGAGGCGCTGAGCTCATAATGAAATATTTGCCGAATCTGCATCAGAGCGTCTGAATCAAACACTCTCTAGGTTACTTGTGTGTTCTCATATCTTATGTTGTATAATTACTGATTTTAGATATGGACAGGATTTAATCTAAACTCTCCATGAAGCCAAACTATCAGGGCTTTCCCATTGAATTCAAGCTTATGCAAACACACACACACACACTAAAAATCTGAACTTCTAGGCTGCGTTTGACTTTTTACTGAGAAAATTTGCATTGCTCAGAATTTGCTCGTTTATAGCTCAGATTCTCAGTTATGTTTTATTTAAAATATCAACTTTTTCCTCAGATGTTTCTGCTAAAAACAGACATAAATGGAGTCAACAGTTGACATACAGTGAGTATAGAGCTAAAAATGAATGTAGAGCAAAATTCTGTTCTTAGAAGAATTTGATGAGAAACCTCAGCTCTCTTGGTTTTGATCACAGATTTTAGTATTTTGGCAAATCTGAGTACATTGTGAGACACTGTTGAGATATTCTGATATGTTGGAGGAGACACATGTGCAATTACTAGGGTTTTATTCCCAGAATAACTATCTGAGAAGCAGGAGACTTAGTAAAAGTATCAATTTGCTCTCTATTTCATGTCTAGGAGAAACAACCGAGCTATTAATGAGATCTCATTTGTGATTTTTCTTCCCTATGAGAGTGTATTGTGTGTCTTACTTTGGCGAACAGTGAACCCACAAGTCTGTCAGTGGCAGATTTAAAAGCAGCTGTACACGGTTTCTTATATAACGCTTCAGTTGTTTTCTCCACTTGCAGCAAACACAAAAGACAGAAAATATCCAAAATTACTACAAGCTTCTTTAGAATACTTGGTTCTGACAAAACACATATTGTTGGATTAGTCTGACAGTCAAAGGTTCCATATTTGATAACTGTTTTGTAATAGAAGTGATATTGTGACAGAAAATTATTGATTTGTGGAAAACTGCATAAAAAAAAATTCAATAGAGTTTGGGTGTCACCCAGTGGTTATTTTTGGTATTGTGCCCAAACAAAATCTCACAGGAACCACAATTTTTGTGATATCAACTTCAAATTTGGAACATAACTTGGTTAGTGTGATGAGTGGGGGCGGGGCCGAGAGCCGTGGGAACGGAGCGAGGCCGGTGGAGTAATTGATAATGAGCGACACCTGCACCACTCACCGGTCTCGAGTCCCATGGAGGAGCTCCAGAAGGACAAAAGGAGGAGTTACGACAGTAAAAGAGGAGAGAGGACCGGGCCTGGATTTTATTTTGTGTTTTGGTTCTGTTTGTGCACGACAGTCGTCCACGAGGGGCTGCCGCTTTACTTTCATTTTGTGTTTGTTTATTTTATTAAAGTGTTAAATGTTCGCCGGTTCCCGCCACCTTCTTCCCGACCTACGAACGTTGTTATATTGGTGCCGAAACCCGGGAGGAAGGAGGGACACGCTGTCAGAGAGCCTTCGCTGCTGAGGGGGGTCGCGGTGCTGAGGAGATCGGGCAGCAGGAACAAGCGGAGAGAGCACCGGTGGCTGCCCGAGGCGATGGTGCTGGAACGATGGAAGACGAGGTGGTGCGGAGAGCTTGCTGCCGCGCTCCTGGGTCGAGGAGGGGTGGCTGCCGTCCGTGAGGGAGCGGAGGAGTCGGCCCCATTCGCCAGGAGGCCGGAGCCTGCTGCCATCCGCCATGATTGGGGACTCGTTGCCGGCTGCCCTCAATAGGAGGAGCCATCGCCGTCCGCCAGGAGGCGGAGGAGCGGTGGGCCGTCCTCCAACGATGTCCAGTACCATCGCATGGCACCGCGAGTGAGAGCCTCTCAGCCGGTTGAGGACCAAGCGGCAGTGTGTCCGGGAACCGGAC